GCATTCTGAGGTGATGGAACCTATATCGGTACTTCTTTCCAGTACGTCGGCTTAAAATTTCTCAGACGAAATCATCATACAAGCCAACATGTCTTTTTAAAGAACAAGAATTTCAAGAGCTCTTTCACGCGTATGAGCTGTCATGCACAATAACTCAACCGTTTTAGCCACGCATCTTCCCCTTACTGGATCGTACTTGATACGCACCTGTAAGTCGAATTTTGCTTGCGTGCGCCATCTGACGCATACGTCATTTTAGGCACATTAATTGCCTTTTTGCTGCCGTTTCGAGTTTTGACAAAACTTCTTTCTCCTTTCGTTTTTTCACTTTACACCGTCTTTGTTCAAACTCGCTCTTTCTCTTACTTTCTCTAATCCTCTATTGTTCCAAGCTCTCAAGCTCTGCTACCACCGCCGTTTCACCTCCTCCAGCGAGGCTCTTGCTAATCTTTTCTGCTGCCGCCGTTCGTCTGACTTCGGCGATCTCAACACCGGCTTCCTCTCTTCGGTGAGTTACTGTTTCTTCCCGATTTAACTTCTTGTTTCAGTTTTTTGTTTTGCTTTTCTGAACTCTACTGCTCTACTTCTGCAATCTTGTTCATATCTTTGATATTTCAATTTGTATCTTGTTTTCCACCACATGTTTGTTTCATGATTCTGTTTTTGCCCCATTCGTTTCTTGAATACACATTGTTTACACACTTGTTGATTGTTGCCACTGTTCTTGGCCTGACACACCTGTGAAAACTTTTACCTTGTGTTTCTTGATGACCCATCACTATTCTTGACTCTGAATAGCATTCCTGTTTCTGTTTGCCGTGTTTTTTCCAGATTCGTGCCTTCAATCTTCATCTCTATAGATATAAGTTTGGGATTTGTTTGTTGAACCCACAAAACTTAGGAAAAACTGAAACGATTCCCCACACATTCTGTGTATTTTTAGGTTTTAGCCGAGGTTCCTAAAAACCCTACAAAACACTTCATTCTAAAATCCAGCTCCTCCAGTTAAGCCGATATCATAGGAATGTGGAAGCATAGGGTAGACACCCTGACAAAATTAGAATACTTTAGACGAGAGTTTTCCATCCCTGCCGATGTCCATCAGAGGTTGGCTGGGGAGGATGACTCCACCATGCCTACAACTGATTCTATGCCTTTCCCTGTTGTGGCTTTTATTGAGTGTGGTCTTAGGCTCCTACTCAACATCCTTTTTTGAGAAGTCCTCCATTACTGTAAGTTAAACCCGATGTAGCTCACCATCAATTCCTACCGAGTCATCAATGACATAATAGCCTTAGCCCGACAAGAGAATGCTAGGG